AGAGGCCGACGCAGACCAGCACGGTGTGGAGCTCCTTGGACGGCGACCGTACGGCGCGAAGCAAAGTGAGTTCATCTCTTGAAATCCCCAACGCATCGAGGCTCCGAATTGTCTCATTCTTGCAATCCTGGCTCTGGTTGGAGCGTCGGTCCGCGAGAAAGTGGTTGATCCGCCCTTGCTTGGCGCCTTGCAAGACACCGTCCACCATGTATGCGCCGCCTTCGTACGCGATATTGGTCGTGGTCGCGGCCACCTTGGCCGGCGGAAGCTGCGGCGGGAGCTCGGAAATCGCGAGCTTGGCGGCCTCGGCCGGCTACGCGCGTCGACATCACGATCTCGCTGCGCATGCAGACGCGGTACTACCTCGAGCGAGTCGACGGCGAATCGCTCGAGTGCTTGCTTCGCACTTTCGACGAGGAGCTTGTACGTATTGGCACCCAGCAGTTGTCCCGAGTACGAGGCATCGATGCGACTCACCACCAGCACAACGTTGTGCACGTCCCAGCGTTGCAGCACGTAGAGTAATTTGTCGCCAGCGCCAAACATGCCTCCGTCGTGCATACCTTCGACCACGTCGTAGAGCTCGGCGACGGGGTGCGACGACTTCTCGGGCGCATCCGCCGCCATCTCGATGACGCGGTAGGCGTACGCGATATGGGTGGCCCGTCGCAGGGCGCGTTGCTGCTGGAGGTCTGCGATGACCGTACTTACATCGTCGCTGTGCTTGATGGGCACGACAAAGCCCTGAACCGTGTTCTTGCTCACGGTCGTGGGCGGCCCGGCGCTGACGGTCCGCCCCATCGCACCCTTTCGAAAGATCGCTTTCGAGTGCGCTGATTGGCCGGATCTCGACACCAGCGGTGTGTGATTGGTCGTTTCACATTGCCTTTGGCCCGAATGACGCAGGAGCTGAGCGAGACCGAGATCACTGAATTCCGCGAGATTTTCAACCTCGTCGACCGCGTCGGATACTGCATCTCATAGCGAATGGCGCTAAGAGCTGAGTAGGATCGCGGCGGGTCCATCACCAAGGTCGAGCTCGGCGAGCTCATGGACACGCTCGGGATCAACACGTCGCCGGAAGAGATCGACCTCATGATCAACGAGATCGACCAAGACAGCAACGGCGAAATCGACTTTGATGGTGCGTATATGATCTTATCGTCGTCTTATCCTGTCGCACAGAGTTTGTGGCCGTCATGAGCCGCAAGGTGAATGCCACGTACAGCGCCGACCAAGTCAAAGCGTCTTTCAAGGTCTCGTCCTTTTAGCAACGGCAACGGCTTAGCAACTGCGAGGAATTAGATGTTTGAAAATCCGAGCACGCCAGGATGTATCCGCGTCGAGCGGCTCGTGAGTGCGCTCACGACATACGGCAGCGACAAGATTTCCGAAGAGCAGGCACGGGAGCTCATCTGCCAGGTACGCGCGTGCATCGCTCTTTCAAAAGCCTAAGCCGCTTGTACACAGTTGGAGCCGGACTCGAACGGGCTCGTCAATTATGAAGAATACGTCAACATGATGATGACCAAATAAGAAATGCACACGAAGCGTGGCGTCGTTTCCACTCTCGTTGTCCATCCATCCATCCACTGCCCCCATTCGAGACGGAAATGGAACGAGTTTGATTATTCGTACCTGCAGGTAGGAAATGTGACAACAATGCATTTGGGCAAGAACCAATACCAAATGTTGGCAGCATGACCTTGGCTAGTTTATATCGATGATGGTGCACAAGGAGGTACGAGTCCTCGATTGCAAGACCACCCTTGCCACATGTACCAGCCTTAATCCCTGCATGCACTAGTACCTGGGACGTGGGTTCTTGCACCCGTTTCAAGCTGGATTTGGATCTCGAAACCCCTTCGTGTCAGAAACGATCTGCTTCAGTTGGCAGATTCGATCGGTACCCGCAGCATGGCGCTCAACTGGTTCCTCATCGTCGTCGTCGTGCTCATGAGCTTCGTCTTCCTCGCCGCCAACGTCTACATCCTTGTCTACTTTCAGCACCCGGACGATAAGAACACGG